GTTTCGTTATGGGCGATGTTCAGTCAAAGGTAAAATAAGCAGTGACTTTACTAATTCCTAAAGAATAATGTTTATATTTAAGTATTATTTTCGAGAAATGTATTTATTTACCTTACTGGCTCCATTATTTACATTTACATTAAACTTTGGACAAACTCTTCCAGTGATTATTGCAAACGGTTTAAAAAAAAAAAAAAGTCCTAAAAGCATCGCGATAACTTCGTGGTCTGTCGTAGTTTGTCGGGTTAGATGGGAAATGAACTGATAGTTACACTGAGGGAACACAAAATTGAAAGATGTTTTATCGTTTTTATGAGTAGTGTTATAATAGTGGTAGTCGCGTTTCCTCACATATTTTGTCATTTAATATAGTATTATATAAAATCAAGCACTTTATATGCATACTCATATACAATTGTTCCTATGTCAAGTATTTTACCTAAAGCTTTCTTGCGGTGCCTGGTGCGTCACTTAAAGCTACAGTCTGCTCTTATTTGACCATTTCACGTGTGCACATACTGGATGTCACAGATGTGTGTGAGAAGCACCAAAATATGGCGCTATCCTTCTCAGCCAATGGGCTGTCCGTTTGTAACAGCTTCTAACTGGCGTCACTACCGTGGCGGGAACGCGCGTTCAAGAAGGGAAAGAGGCTGAGAAGGCATCGGGATCGCGCTCATCATGTTTGGCTGGCAAGTGCCTCCGGTGTAACAGGCTGCTCAGTATGGGGGATCCAGGACCCCGAGACGGGATGGACCCTGACCGACCGACGACTGCGAAGAGCTCATCGAGGCGGTTTATACCGGGATAAAAACATCCAGTGTGTCCTATAATAGAGAGCCTGTCAGGGAGCTGCAGAAGAGGCGGTGTTTGCTGGGATTCAATCCGAGCCGGAGTCTCGGCTGGGAGGTTAACGAGGAGAGAGGGACGTGAGGAAACTGGGAAGGCAGCAGTTTGCAGTCTTAACTGGATCCAGGTCGGAATCACAGGAATCATGGATGAATTGTCGATTACAAGCCGGTCCGGTCAGCCCAACCCAGCCGGAGCAGGGTGGGTTCATCCGGAGTGAAACCAGTCGGCTCTTATCTGTTGGCTTCTCCTCCGCCGGGCGGCGATGTCCGCTTTCTGCCTCGATCTGCAGACGTCCGCTGTGGTTTCAGCACCACTGGAGCTGGACAGCGACTGCATGGAGCCCCGGGCCAGCCCCGCCGCTCAGGAGCCCGGCGGCTTCCAGGGTCACCCGCTGCGGCACGCCGGCTCCGGAGGCCTAGGCATGGCCTTGGAGGAGGAACTGGCCATGCTTACCGGGGAGCGGGGAGATGAGGAGGAGCTGGCCGACCTAGAAACGCCTGCGGTGGGGCATAACACCGACTTGCTGTCGCTTTTCCGCCAAAAGGAAAAAGACTTGGTTTTAGCTGCTAAACTCGGCAAAGCGTTGCTGGAAAGAAACCAAGACTTGACCAAGCAATATGAGAAAATGCACAAAGATCTCAACGAGAAATTAGAGGTAAACTAAGAAAAGAAAATAAGATTTGCTCAAGTGTCTTATAGTTTGTCCTCAAAATTCCCTAATCTCATGGTCAAGTTTGGGCCTTTGCTATGTAAACAAACTGAAGAGGATCCTAAGAAATGCAGCCTGTAGCGCTGCAGTCTGTACGATTGTACATGATGTGCTATAAGCTGGAAAAAGTTACACTGAGAAAAGTAACAGGTGTAGCACAGTCTGAGTTATTTCACGCTTCATGTTTACAATGAAAGCTGTACAGCTTTTGTTCTTGTTTTCAAAATGCTCCACACAGGCCAACACGTGAGCTGAGAAAAACCACAAATACTAATCCTGTGGCTGTTTAGGGCCTACTGTATCTACTGTACATCTGTTCAGCCCTTTGATCCATATTCATCCTCATCTTGGAGCTCAGAGAAATAAGCTACCTCTTAATATCAATCTCTCCTTTCTCACTGATGTTGTCACATTTCCTGGTATCCTATTCTGACAACACTCACTGTTGTTCTGTGGTCTTGTTTTGATTCTCTTTGATCCCCCCTTTTTGTGCTGGCATTTATCCAAAGATGAAAATAGTGGCCACGCAGATGCCAGCTGCTTTAGCCCTGGACTTAACCATAACAACAACCCCCATCCAAGCTCTGGCAGCCGCTGGTGGTGCAGTGCATCTGTCCACTGTTCAGTGCCATCTAGAGAATAGAGAGAAGCATTGTATTATTTGAACTGTCAGTCCAGGTCCCAGAATGCCAGAAGACTGGTTCTCTTCAAAATCACTCTGTTATATGTGTTACATGTTTTCATTTTAGGCTGTCATCAGTTTCTTGCACTTCTTATGAATTGTTTGTATTGTTTTGTAACAAAACTTTAGTTTCTGGTATGCAGTGCAAAATTCTCACATTAATTAATATGTTTTTATGTTACTACCAAAAGCATAATCCTGGTACAGTTACACTGTGAACACCACAACAGATAAAAACTCTTATAAAAATACAACTTCAGAATGGCACCCTGAGCCGTAAACAAATTAGATTTTGCCTTTATTGTTGTACAAAAACTTTTATTGAAAGGATCAAGTTTCAATTTTGAACTTTTTCTTTAGCAGTAATGCAGTTTCCAAGGATAGAGTACAACTTTCTTAGTCTTTTGAAGCACTGCTATCTAGGTCAAGTCACTCCCCCAGTAATTTCATTGATATTTATATTCAAAACAAATTAAGATTTTAACCATCTGTCCTTTGATACACATGCAGCACTTGGAGCAAGAGAAGCATGAGTTGCGACGGCGTATGGAAAGTCGAGAAGGGGAGTGGGAGAGCCGCGTTTCTGAGCTGGAGACGGACGTCCAGCAGCTGCAGGGTGAGCTGGAGCGCCACCAGGTCCAGCTGAGAGAGGCTGACAGGGACAAGACCAAGGCCATCAGCGAGCTCTCTGAACAGAACCACAGACTTCTAGAGCAACTCAGTAGGGTGAGGAGCAGCATTCATGTGTATTTGCGTGCTTCTGTTTTTGTGTGTGTGAGTCAGATGCACTGCCTCAGGCTGGCTGGTCAACCTGCAAGGAAGATTGAATTAGTCTGGGCTTTGAGTCATTATGTCACGTGGTCCTAATGCTGCTTTAAATGCCCTTCCACCATACAAGGAAACATATCTTAGGGAAAGGCCAGTGTGTTTGTGTATTTGGCATGTGATTCTTCCTGGCTTGGCCTCAGGGCCACTCAGCTCAATTTAAGTTTGCCTGGCTGGCATGACATAAGGTGTTCAGCCAGTTGAGGACTTGTCCTCCCTCAGGGTGGATCTATCTCCATTCAGCCAGCCTCACTCTAACTTCACCTGAGTTATGCTAACTCATCAATATAGAAGTGGAGCTTCCGGGTCTTATGTTGAATAATTTAGAACAATTGGACTGCACACTTATGCAATAGCACTCTGCATATTGACAGGTAATTTGAGTGCAGTGATTATGAGTAGCAGATTAGAAAAGGTCCCATATGAGATTTTCAGATAAATGGACAGACAGATTGATATATACAGTCAAGCAGTGCTTGGGGTTGAGAACTTTAGTCTGTATCCTTGGATATGCTGCTCACATATCAGGGTGAACTGAGAGTGGCTGTTGGTGCAGACTGATGGAACTGAGAGTGCTAACGTTTGTAGCTACAGCTGATTAATCCTTTCTAAGGAGCTCAGTACAACATCTCAATCTGCTCAATCGACACCAAAACAGGGACGCATTATCCAGACTGAGTGGTCCATTAGGTGGAACAATATAACAGCCCTGCAATGAAATTTGCCTTTTAGAAGTTAGACTATAGTAAATGTTATTGCTTTATTGCTACATAACACAATTTTTTTTAATTCACAAATTGCTCCTCCAGCATTTCCACACTAGGAAAAATAATATGGCTTGTCTCTGTAATTATATAGAATGACTGTTTATTGTAAACTGTAGGGTTAGAAAGCATTATACCAAGCAACTGTTATGTCATAGTGATGAGCTTTCTTTCCAAGAGCTGGACTACGTCACGCTGGCCTGCCTGTCAGACAGATCAACAGCATAAACACCTGTAAGGACAGCACAGCAACTTAAGGGCTGAAAACAGAAGCATCACGGCACTGACTGCTGCCACGTAGTTTGGCAGTAGGTTACATTTCAGGAGGCCCCAGAGCTGTGCACAAAGAGGTTGACGGGCCTGTACAGGTGCTTTGACAACACTGTCAGCAGTGCCGCCAATGATGACACCCATGTTCGTGTGTGTCTCCACTCCTGGGAGGAGATATGATCTGTTGCCAGGCACACTGGGAGGAGGAGACTCGATGTGGTTGATTTTTAAGCCCCAGTTCACCGCTGAGCAGAGCAGCTCCCCTTCTCATCTTGATCAGATTAGATCAGCATCCTGCCCCATCTTGCCACAACACCATCATCACATGGCAGTCACTGTGCTGAACTGGTCAGCTGCTGTGGACTGCAGGAAAATGCAGGCACTTAGTATAATTAAACTGCATTTAATTTAAATGAAACTTGGGTGTGGGAATCTATCAAGATTTTCCCAGAAAGAAAGTGGTGTGTATTGTGTTTTGGGGGGAGAAGCATATCTTGTGGTCTTTGTGACTCAGTGAAATTCATGAGACCTAATTGACTGCATCGATCCAGATCTCATGATTCAGTGCGTTGGGTAGACAGTGGAAGACCTGCTGGGTAATAGAATAAATGAGGTCAGCCACAGTACTCATGCTCTCTCTCTCTTTATATTCTTTTTTGTCGGTGTCTTTCTTCTCTTGCTCTCCCTCTCTGTCTGAGCTCATTACTAAGCAATGGGCTGTGACTAAGTAATATTAACTGTTTACAGCTCTGAATGATCGCAGGGAATGTAAGGCTACCCTGCAGTAGTGAGGCCACAGGAGGCCATCTATTTTCATCTGTCCTTTGTGTTTCTCTTAATAGTTAACCCTTTAAGTGGAACAGTCCTATTATGATCGAAATCCATATAACATCTTGTTAGTCCTGTCCAACTATAGAACAGCACATGGTCCTGTGCCCCTGCATAAGTAATGACAAGATTATTATTGTAGTCTTTTGGCGTTCCTCCTAGAAATCACATTTCAGTGAGTGGTGAATGGAAAGCAGACACAACTATTGCCTGCTGCTGATTGACAGAACAACCACATCCACATAAAAAGTTTTACCAGTTTGTGGGTTCAATTGCTACACCACAGAGGGACTGGCACCATGTTCTGTTTAATTATAGAGGTCAAAGTTTGACTCATTGGTAAGTAACAAAAACATACGCTTTAATTTATTAAAGATTGATTACAAGTCAAAACAAGTCCCCATTATTCATATAGCACATTTGAAAACAATAGACAGAGTCAAAGTGCTTTCCAGTAGAGAAACAAAATTTGTAACACAAATTTACCTAACAAGCTTAAATATTAAGGTTATGATCCTGCATTATTATAATATCCAATATATACATTTACCAGACTAATTGAAATAATACATTTACAGTAGTATGTAAAAGACTAATTTACCGAACTAGATACGCAGCAACAAATACAGAACGAATGCTGGAATAAAAACAAAAATAAGTAATTACTTCCTCAATGACACAATGAAAGAGTAATGAAATGCTAGGATAAATCAGGACCACATTTTTTTTTACATTTGTTTTTTACATAAATGTAGAGCTTTAGAAAATTAGAAATAATTACATACTTGTAATCATACATTTATATAATTTATTCAATTGTACATCAATTATTTAGTTCATTCTATCATTAACTCATTCAGTTTAAATGTTATTTTATTTACAAATCATTTTGTTATTATTAACTGAATTATTTCAAATACATATTAATTATAAATTAAACTGTCAGTTAAATTTGTGAATTGCATTTAGTTTATTAAGTATTAAATATTCAACAATGTATGCATTTTTTATGTATTTATTGAAGAGTAAGTCCATTTTCAGTGGATTCTCAGAGGATGATTTTAAAGGGAAATCTTTCAGCCAAAGGTTAGAATTGCAAAAACTGTGCTTTGCCCTTCTAACTGCTCAGGGATCAGTTCTTAACAGTGTTCAATTGGCTTCAGTGGGATGACCTTGAGAAGGCAGCGCACTTCATAGGAAGTGATGTAAGTCATGGGGTAAGATACAGCGCTGAGGGGATTTGCTGTAATCCGCACTAATAGCCCTGCCATATGCATTTAGTCAGGAACCAAAACAACTCTAATATAATCCATACTCTACTTAATTAATAGCAGCAGGTACCTTAGGTATTTGACCAAGCAAGATTTTAAAAAAATGATTCCTCAGCTTTGTTGTCACATCTTATCCTGGATGGACACAAATACCCCACATGGTTACCCTTCTGTCGGTGCACTCTTATGCATGTTTGAGTGAACGTTCCAATAGTCGGTGATAAAACTATATGTTACACTCAATACACCAGGAGGAAATAGGTTCTCATTGATCCAGGAGGTGTGTGCTGTGTCTCAGTGTGTCTTGAGTGTCAGAACAGCCAATCTCCTCGGGCTTAATCTGATCAGAGTGAACCAGCAGGAAGGGGACCTTTCTGTAATTACATTAGCACACATGCTCGGAGAAGGCTGGGGATGCACTGGCTGTAGCAAGTGTCTACATGCTTTATGGCCACAGCCAATTCTACTGACCTCAGCCTCCAGAATTTACTTAATTAAACAATGACAGTAGGTTCCAGTCATGGTTGTTTATTCGAGGCTATAGAGGAGGGGTAGTTCCAGTTTTTGGCTTACAACTACATAACAAGCAAGGTGTAATGTGAATAATTCTGAATGACTAACACAGAAATCTGGCACCCTTTGTTGTGTGTGGCCTCATCAGAACAGTGTAACCACATTAGACTCACGCGAGATTCAGTTTCACTCCTTCTTTTACATCCTCCAGCCGGTGTTAAAAACAGTCCCTGGGCATCTGTCCAGCCATCAGCTGACACAATGTGCGCCAGCCACTGGAGCACAGAATGCCTGCATCCCTTCAGCCCAGGGTAGCTGCTGCTCTCGGGATCGGCCCTGTGATCGGCATGTATTGTCACTTGGAGATTTTGTTATGCAACCTTGTGAACGTGGGGTTGCCCATTCTCCATAAGTCTAGACGAGACAGCGCTCTGTGTAAGTGACTAAGGAAAATACCAGAAGCATTGAGACCACAAGTCGCTGCTCCACCAATCCCACTTCTCCGTGGTTGCCATGACAACCAGAGTGACATGCAAATTGAAACTCCATGTGTTGTTACCATGGGAATGTGCTTTACAGAATGGCACAAGGATGCAGATAATTCGATGCGAGGTTGTGCCACCGAAGACCCTCAATGCACCTGAATTGGGCGTCGGAGAGCCTTTAACTGAATCAACAGGAGGGATATAGTTTAAAAGTTTTGCCTCTCCTCCTCCTGCTGCACCCCGTCTTTCTCCTGGAAAGTAAATGTCCAGTATTTGCTCATGGTAATGTCAGAGTAAAGAGGATCTAAAGTAACATGTCTCTGTGCTCAGCCCTACTTTTCTGCCCTGAATTCCGTCGCATCAGTCTGATTTTCCCCTTGTTTGTCCTGTCATGCTGATAATGCTTGATCTGGGATCTGAGGAATTTATGCGCAGATTAAGTGACTAACTGCAAGTCTGCAGTCAACTCTGTGGTTTTCAGACACAATCTCGCAATCTCAGTGTGTCAGGGTGTTGGGGCAGTGGGTCAGCTGTCACGTTACCACTGTGACCTGCTGCTGCACTGGCCTCTGATAACTGCACATCTGTTTCCCACATAGAGACAACTGCATCTCGCAGCTGTCACACATAAACGCACATCTGGTCACTCTAAGTGAATATGCAATGCTAAGAGACATTGGTGCACAGTGAGACAAAAAAAAAAAAAACAATGACTAAGGCAACAAATTGCAAATAATTTTTAGAATTAGTGCAACAATTTAGATTTTCATTAGAGTTTCCACATCTGCTTCTCTGCTTGATTATCAGATTTACACCAACTTCTTCTAGCTTTTTTACTAGCAAGTATTTGTTACTTCCTCTGAAAACATTCTTAATGTTTTTAGGTAGGTTATACAACAGTCATTTGGAATGACATATGTCAAAAGGTTTTTTGTACTGTATTCACATAGTTTATAGTCCCCCTCTGATGTAAATCAAGTTTTTTTTTTATCTTGCTAACATGTCCATTTGGTGTTTTTATATGCTTTAAGACACATCATGAGTGATATGAAAACAACACCAAGGCTGAGCGTTTCCACCTTGAAACTTCAGCGTACTTATGATTGTCATTTTAAAGCAGGAAGGGAACACTTCATTCAGTATGTAACTTTGATGCACAGTGATGAGTTGTTGGTGTTTTACCCGATGGAGAGAACTGGAGAGAGACTTTAAAAATAGCTTTAGTTTAATGCAACTCCAGAACTCATGACTGTGGTTTGCCTCCAGGTTTCCACAGAGCTTCCAACATGATTGCTGTGTAGTTACGGGTCTGTTTTAGATCTGAAATGCCAAGTTATAGTCAGTAACTTGTAGTAGTATATTGGTTTGCTCAAATTGGATGTAGTGTTTGATCTACTTCCATATTTGACACTAATTCTTAATGTTTTTATCATATCTGCTTTGCCCAGCTAACTGTATGCATCTGAAGAAATCTCGGTCTTGCGGACTGTATTTTATGTTTAATTCTCATATTTGAGTATGATGCATATATAAGTATTGCCTTTTTGTCCGCATGTGTTTAACCTGTTATAATTACCAGACGTTCAGTTGCCATGCATATAATAAAACCTACTAAGCTTGTTATCATTCAGTTATCACTCATGGTCCTTAATCAGTTGTCCGTCCACTGGATACAAACCATGACATTACTCTAATGTTATCAACATTTGTTGTTCAAAGTAGTAGTAGTTGAACTTTTTTACAATTATTATTTAATCCAGGTTCAATGGGTACTTTGGGGAGAGATTTAATTTCCCACTTGACTTGAAATAATATAAGTGCATTGTAACTATGGTAATAAAATAGTAATTTCTTTATTTTATTAAAGTCATATATTATGGTTTCAGTGCTGCATGCTTTTGGGATGGAAAATATGTGGATGTGAATCCTTCCAGGAATAACTGTGCACTGATTTATTGTGAGGGATCAAGACTTTGTTGATAACGTCTGTCCCTCTATCAGAAGTTTCAGAGCAGTCACAGGGCTGCACTGTTAGTTACAGTTCAGAGTGGAGTCCCAGAATGATGGAGCTGAAACAGTCGTCCTGACAGCTTGTCCTTCCCAGAGACTCCCAGAAGAACTCTGACACAGACAACTGCCTGTGTTACCTGAGGACAGAAGTGAACTGATGTGTTCTAATGCATCTACTCCAGCAGCTGTGGAGTTGTGCACTCCTCAGCAAGCTGCAGCAGTGTATACTGCCACCTAGAGGCAGCCAGGCATACTGATGCAATGCTTACTGTCACTCTGTGATTAAAACACAAATTAAAAATAATGCTAATTTGAACTCAGCGCTTCTTTGCTCACAGTTTTTTGGCCTATTTCCTCCATGTTTAGCCTCCTCAGGGAGCTGTAGGAGTTGAGTGCTTTTGATTATCTTGCTGTTGCCATGGCAGTGATGATAATGCCAACAGTAGCTTCCTGAGAACAGCTTTATGCTAATGATGCTCAGCCAGGCTCTGCGTGGCCTGATCCCACCTGTCCAATAAACTATAGTGACGCACAGAGTCTGCTGCTGCGCTGGATTGCACAAATACTGAACACATCATTTGAGGCTTTTAACAAGGGCCATGGCTTTTGGGTAAAATTGTGTCACTAGAGAGCCACCTATCAAATGCACCATTTACAGGAGCAGACCGGAGAGGGCTGATTTACACCATGTCAGTGTCAGTAACACAGTGTGAGTGCACAGTGAACAGCAGTGTGTTTTTGTATGTGTGCGTGACACTTGCTATCAGACTCCAATGAGTCACCACTGAGAGGCAACAGACTGAAGGGCTGCTGTGCAATCTTTCTCATTTAACTTATCAGATAATGTAACATTTTAACGTGTTGTTGTCCCAGCAGTGCCATGAAAATTAATTAAGGAGGAACGTCACTGATTCTGCAAGTGCTAAATTAGTGCTGTGAGTTTTTAAAGTAAACGCAGGTGCATTTAAAGAAAATTCAGTATATTTCCTGTCCTGTGTATTTGTCCTTGTCCAGGCTGCAGAGGTGGAGAGGCAGCTGTCCACTCAGGTCCATTCATTACGGGACGACTTCAGGGAGAAGAGTATGTCTACAAGCCAGCACATGACACGACTAGAGACTCTACAGGCGGAGGTCAGTCACTAGCTGGACCATTTTTCCTGCATCAATCACTTTATACTGAGCACAGTTGATTGAATTGTATTTTTTAGAGCGTGCCTAGCTTGAGCAGTCTCCCACTAAAAGCTAAACATAAATCCTAATACGGAAAAGTACAGCAATAATTAAAAATTATGTGGCCTGTTTGAAGCTTTTGATACTCAGCAAGAGGCCTAAGGAGGCAATAAATCTCAAGAAAATTTAAAAAAAAAATTAAAAAGAAGTAACGCATTCTTCGTCTTGAAAAGTTTAATTCATCAATGATGGAAAAGTATTCAGATTCTTTACTTAACTAAAAGTATCATTACAGCAATGTAAAAATACTCCATTACAAGTAAAAGTCCTGAATGAAATATCCCTCTCATGTAAAAGTACATTATATTAGCAGCATTGTTATTTTTACAAGTATTTAAGCTGCTGATGGAGCTAGTTTGAACCGGGGCTGAACAATTAATCAATTTCAAATCGCAATTTGAAAAAAATGCAATTAAATATCTGCAAAGGCTGCAACTTAGGATATATGAGGTGTGGCTATTAAATAAATTAATGCTGTATTTCAGTTACATTTCAGGGGTTATGTCTATTGATCAGTGTACACTGTTTAGTTAAGACATGTACACTGTGGATAAACTGGCACAAGCCCAGTCTCAACACTGAGCAGCCACACCTCTTAGATTTTGCAGCACATCTGACGCAGAGTTAAAACTGTTGTGTCAGTGGTTTTACAAATTCATGCCGTCCTACTTGTGTGACATTCACGCTTGTGATGGTGTCTCCTGTGTAAATGCTCCATCACAGGTTTTAAATCTGCTATGCAGTGATTATTAAACAGAAGCTTGACTTGAGAAAATCACAGTCTGTGTCAGGAAAGTTGCAATTAGATATTTGCTCCAAATCATTCTGCTCTGGTGTGAACCATCCTATATCCAGTTTCTCATACAGGGAATAGATAAATCTGAGAGTTTTTTAATGGGAGAGGAAAAAAGAAAAACAAAGCTCTGATACACGAATCTGTTTTCCTTAAATCTTTGATTTTTGTAGAGATATTTTATAATTTGATCATTTATTGAAATTAAAGCATGTGAGAAGTTTAGAAGAAGTTTGGTGGAGCCGTAAACAACTCAGACAACTGAAATGTGACTAACTAGACATAGTTTTTTGTAAGAAGCCAAAAAAGGTTGAAAACTACAGGTTTATTTTTTTAACTATTTTCTGTATTTTAAAAGCTCATTAAATTATCCCTTTATGTAAAATGGTATTTTAAAAGCTCATTAAGTTATCCCTTGTGTAAAATCTTTAACCTAAAAGTAACCAAATCTGTCAGATAATTTAGTTAAGTACAAAGCAGAATATTTCCTTTCCAAATGTAGGGGAGTGGAAGGATAGAGTAGGATTAAATGGGAAGTACAATTGTCCCAAAATTGTCCTAAATACAGTACTTGAGTAAATGTACTTAGTTACTATCCATCACTGGAATTCATAATCAATCGAACACACCCCTGCTTAATTCAGTACCTTGAGGACTGTGGCTGCTGCAGTCTAACCCATAGACTTATACAGTCTATGGCCTAACCAGTAGTTAATCTTAGAAAACTTTAGACTGCTGTTCTCAGGTGAGTTCAGTGATATGATGTTGTCTGTTGTCTGTTTGTGCTGCTGACTGTTGTCAGTGTTGGCATGTCACACATGGACGTCACTGGTTTAATCACAGAGGAGAAGCACCACATAATCACACTGTAACTGGTTGTTTCCTGCGTTCCTCTCACTCTGGTCGCCTCATTATGATGCCTTCCACTGATCCACTGTGTTACTATCCTTCCAGTTACCACTTGTGGTGACTGTGGCAGCTGTTCAGTAACAGTCAAATAGTCTTACTTTAATGTTTCTAATAATAAGTGAAAAGTTGTTTGGATTTCTTTCAGACCTTATTCTTCTTTTACTGTAATCTTAACCTTCATGTCTCTCCTCATCCGTTCCTTGTTCCTTCACCCACTTTCCTTCTTGGTTGGAGCAGCAAGGGCTAGAAGTGAGTGGTCCCCCTTCACCGTCTGTTGGCCAGATTGCATGTTGCATGTAACATCTTGTAAAACAATAGAAACAAGGATTGCGCTGTTATCGTTCTCCTCTGCCTAATTACATGAACTGCCAAAAGTGCACAGTACTATTATTTCATCGGGTAGATTTTTGAATCTCACAATGAATGGAATAGTGACTCATTTGACCTTATATAACCTAAAAAAATCTTGGAATTGTACATTTAATCTCTTGTCATTTTAAAATTGTCTTAGCTTATGTCATCATCTAAAAATGATGCTCAGAAAGGAATTTATATGTTGATGGAAAATCTCTATTTGATAATTCACATCCTCATGGCAATCCCTGTTTCCTGAGGTCTAGCATGAGTTCAAGGTGTGTTGTGATGTCAGTAGTTTCATGTATGAGCTGCAGATATGTCTAAAACATCGATACTGCAAGACAACAGTTCAGATTTTCCCATAGCTTCTCATCAAAGGCAGGGAGAAAACACCCAGACTGCAGAGCCTGCGCTATAATTGGAAGAAGAGGCTACAGCTCTATATTTAGCTGAGATACTGCAATCTCTGGGTGCTCCCACTTTTATAATGCTTTGCCTCTATATGACATGTGCAGATGACTAATGGCTTTTTGGCCTATTTGTGTGTGCAAAGACACAGACTATGGCAACCCAAAAATATCCAGAATCTGGCATTGCAGATGCTCATATGGTTGTGAAAACAACTGATCCCCATGTAAGCTCCTGTGCTGTGAAGTGGGTTACCAGATGTAGGTCAGAAGCAGGAGGGATAAAAAAGAAGCTGATGTTTGTTTAATGGGGAAAGCTGCTCAGGCAGCTGCAAGGGAAAACAATTCATAATGAATATGTTGCGCTGCTGCAATGCCAGCTATGAGTGGAAGTCCAGTACACAGCAATGGTAAGGAGTAAACTGGTGTCAAGCTCTCTGTGATGCTTAAGTATCACCAAAACATTCCTGGAGACGAGGGTGGCAACTGACGCCTACGCCCGTGCTAGGCAACAAACATTCTTTAGGCCAGTGGGAGTACTTTTTAATCTTGTGTAAGAGCCCAGCGTGCCTCAGAGGCAGGACAACAACCAAATTTTGCCTTTAAGCAGCTCCGTCGCTGCCCATCTGTTTGCTGTCGCCCAGGAAATCTGAACATCACTAAGTTTCTCCACTTAAATCTTGTCTCCTGCTGCACAGTATCTAACCAACGCTGATTGATATGTTAGATTAAGATGCTGTCAGAGAGGAAGATGGAGCTGGAGCGGCGGGTGCATGCCATGCTCCAGGAGAACGAGCTGCTGCAGAATACAGTGGACGACCTCCGAGAGAGGACGCTGGTGCTGGAGAAGCAGTGTCACGAGAAGGACCTTCAGGTACAGACACAAGAATGAACAAGCTTTGAGGGGCAATACTATCTCAGTAGATAGTAGAAATTGCGTGTACACGACTTTCTACAAAGCTATTTTGTGTAAATCTGCTGAACTTAAAATAGTCGCAAGTGCTGTCAGACTTCTACTGATTCTTCTACTTGGCACTGTTAAGCTTCAGTTTTAACTCCTCTGTTGTGTCCAGTTGCGACAGAGCCAGCTGGAGCTCCAGGAGGTCCAGATGTCCCACAGGCAGCTGACCTCTCGGTTGGAGGATCTGACAGAGGAGCACAGCCTTCACAGCCTCACCCCCCACCCATCCAGCCTGCTGTGTGAGATCGAGCAGAGCATGGAGCAAGAGGAGCAGGAGCAGGAGAGGGAGCAGGTAATTATGTAGATTCTTCTGTTTTATTGAGTCCAGTCAGTTTGAGCCCACTGTGAGCACCAAGAGGGTGGATCACTAATATCTAATACCTCTCCCACCCACTGTGCTCTTTAGCTGCGTCTTCAGCTATGGGAGGCTTACTGTGAAGTTCGTTCGCTCTGCTCTCATCTCCGGGGAAATGACGTCACAGATTCAGCCCTGTCCACCGACTCTTCCATGGACGAGTCCTCGGAGACGTCCTCAGCCAAGGATGTGCCTACTGGGAGCCTCCACACCAGCCTGCTGGAGCTACGGAGGCTAACACAGAATCTGCTGGATGGCAACGAGTCGACGGTAATAAACAGCACACTGATAGCTCGTCAGCTATGTCGCTGCTTGACTAAACTCAGGCATCAGTTTAAAAAATTGTTATAATGCCTAAATGTAGGAGATCAGTAAATTCCAATTGTATTTAATATTATTATAGTGTAAAGAAAGACAGTGATCTTAGTGAGTTAAATAAGTGCCCACTTACTTTTTAAATGACATACCAGAGGTTTACTGTATGTTTAGTTCAAATGAAGTTAGATAAAGAGGTATACGGTGGTAAACTGAAGTTTTGTGTTCCCTGCAGTTAAAACTGTTGTACATAATGGAGACACAGTAAGGCCCAAACAAATCTTAAGTCTATCAGTCAGACACAGCAGGAAGTGACCTGTTGCTCCAAATCAGCCATTTGTCTCTGGATACTTTAGCATTATGTTAATGAGCAACTTGCAGGTTGATGACTCCAGCGAATTAATGTGCAGGAAAATACAACTACTTAAAAAAAGAAAAAAAAAGTCTATGTGTGCACTGCAGTTACAATTAGTTTTGTTTTTGTTAAAAAAAAAAAAAAAGACCAGTCCTCCCCTGCACTGTACATTCCACAAGCTTTTTGCCCTTTTCAGACCTTTTCCAACATGCATTTCTGATTAATTGACTTAACAATGGCTGTACACCACTCGCTTGGCCAAAGGCAATCTGTACAGTAAGGAAGTGTGGTTTCAGGTCGGCGTGGGTTTTCTGGTCATCTTTAGTTTAGTTTAATATTGACCTCAAAAAAACACGTTGGTTGTGATATCACCAAAGGGATTGCAGCCAAGCTGGTGTCAGTTTAACAATAACAAATATGGATCCTAACTGTAGTTCTGACACTGAATATGTCAAAAACAGATTTTCACTCATATCACAGCTTTATAAATGAAGGTCGGCAGGGTATCACAGCATCCAGGAACAGACAAGGATTAGAAAAAAATAAAGACAATCAGCAATAAATTACGCTGCAAATGCAGGGCAGGTGTCTCTGTGGGTGACCGAGGTTTGATACCATAAAATACCATATGTTACGGTTATGATGATGTGACTATTATTGGCTGTTTAATACCGGCAGATACTCACCATTACAAAAACTTCGGTCTTCAAGTATCAGTCATATTTCACTTTTCTAACATAAATTGACACTATGATTTATGGTGCCACATGGCAGTGAAGAAGAAAGAGAGATGGAAGAGAGCTGACTAATTTAGAAGTTTACAAACAGAAAAAAAAACTTTCAGAGTTAATGTTTTTCACAATCTGGAGCCATTGCTTCCACCAGTAGCAGAAGGTGCTGCTGATGGTGGACCTAAAGAGGCTGTGTGCACCAAAGGAACCACAACACCTATCACTGTCACATGACCCTCTCTTAAACATCCCATCCAGAACTTCAATATGCCTCTGAGAACATAATCCTCCTTTCTAAAATGAGCTCCACACCTACACAGAAAACAGACAGACATGAAAGCTTGCTCTGTTGTTAGGAAAAGTGAGGACTTGATCTCCTAGCAAGCTGGATTTTGTACCAGCTCCACAAACCTTTCTAGACTTTCTAAATCACCATCAGACTTACTACCACTATTGCACAGTGCGCTGGTGCAGTGACGTACTGTCCATTTTTTCACTTTAATTTAAAGCTTTATGTCTCATAAAACTTACAAAACCAAGTATTAACATTGAAATAGTCATTTATAGGAAATATTAAGTATACATTTTATGAATTATTCAACCAGCAAATTGCTTTTTAAGCCATCTTGTTTTGGCCAGTAAACAGTTACTTTGGCTACACATTCCCTGTAACCTTCCTAGAAATTTATAGTTTATCAATTACTTTCTCATAAAGGTGATGCTGGTTCAACTTTAAGTAAACTGTTTCTGACTTACAGCTAACATCATAGTACTCTGACTGATGTAGGGACATAGTAATGAAAACCGTACATCTACAGTGAGAGTGTGTAGTGAAGTGGTGTGTGTTTGGTGTTGAAAGGGCTCGCGGCGCAGCGATGAGGAGGCTCTGGAGGAACAGGTGAGGAAGCTGGGAGACGAGCTGAGGGAAGTGCGAGAGCTGTACGAAGCTGAGCAGGATAAAACGCGCAACAATGAAGAGGAGCTGCTTCAGCTGCACAACCAGGTATCGAACTCTGTACTTCACATGTTCACTCAGGCTCTGCAAAACATTAACAGAGCAGCAGAGATGAATCAATTAATCCTTTAGTTGTCAAATATGAACTTTTTGTTTTAGGAAAAAGTCCCAAATTTTTGATTCCAGCCTCCTAAATGTGAATGTTTTCTGGTGTCTTTGCTCCTTTATGACAGTAAACTGAAAAGCTTTGGGCTGTGGACAAAACAAGACTTTTGAGGACGTCATCTGATTTATATTTTATGTCATTTTGTGAACCAAAAAAACAAACAAACAAAAAAGTGATGAATTAAGAAAATAATAAACATCAATCGAAATAATCATTAGTTCTGCCCTATTCATTTATATTATCCAGTCTTTCTTGGTTTAATAATGTTGCATTAAGGAGCACTCATGACTAAGAATAACATTTAGATGACCTAGTGCAACAGACTTAGTCCTGACTCGTTCGTGTGCTCATATGATTTTAATGCATGTTGCTTATAATGTAGGACATCGCTCCAGACTTGTCTTCTTCCTGCTAGGACAGCTCACTCTCTCCTGAGGGTTTGAAGTTGCATCTTACATGATTTACACAAAATAAACTCTAACACAGGTCACTTCATCTTCTCCTGCTGAACTAGGTCAACTAAATATCTCACACATGAGCACCGCTCTGCAGAACTGATCCATTTCCCTCTGCTGTGTGACCTGCAGATGGCGCTGCTCTCTGTAGAGTTGTGTTCGCTTCGGGAGGACAACGAGCGAATGAGGACTATGGGTGAAGTCCGAGAACCCAGCGAGCAGCTCCAGAGTGCAATCAGAGACAGAGACGACGCCATAGCCAAGTAGGACTGTATAATGAACACTACTCAGTCCAGCACTGATAAGAACTACACTCATGTAGTTAGAAATAATAAGAAACAGTATCTCCTCTCACCAATAGTTAAGTATAATGTGCAGAATGTTGCATGGTTGCTCTGTCACCATTGGTTTATGAATGTGTGTGTGAATGGGTGAATGAGAAACACATTGTAAAGCGCTTTGGATAAAAGCGTTATATAAGTGCAGACCATTTCCAATGTTGCAGATCTATAATAAATATACTAGCTATCTAGTGTATAATGGAATCAACTCGATGACAGTTTTAAAGGAAAGTCCCTTTCTAATAAAACTTAAATCTTACTTTTGTGGCAGCACTGTTCTTACCACACATCACTGCATGTGGACACATCCCTGAAAATAAGTCTGATGTTAAAAACACAGTAGAAGTCAGACAATCATACAGGTTTTAAACGCAACGATTAGTTCAACTTTTTTGAAGAGACAATTAAAGTAAATCGCAAAATTGCTACACAAACTGAGTATAAATACCAAACATAGTTTACCTATCTTCTTCTTGGTTCATGTTTAACCTCCTTCTATTACTGTAGTTGCGCGCGCGCACACACACGCACGCACACGCACACACACACACACACACACACACACACTTTGTCTGTGCAGTGAGGGATTATTACAACTCTTACCTGTGAACTCATGTTTTCTACTACAAACACAGGTCTTATCCAAACATATATGGGTATTTCTTTAACTGTATCTTTTTCTATGCATTTTGGTTGCATGCAAACTAAATCTTAGGCTGCTGAAAATGGAGCTTTTGGAGAACTTCTCTCAGAGTGAAGACTTTCAGACACTCTGTTTGCAGTATTGACATTTAGAGCGGACACAGAAGCAGACATCACGTTTGTTTTTTGACTGTGTCCTATTATTATTTCTGAAATGATTGTAAAATGCTTATCTGGACAGAAATTGCTTTAAAACACTGTTTAACAATGAAACCATAATCATGTGGACATAGGCAAGAAGATTTAGATAATTTGTTAATTTATCTGAAAGTCTGATCACTCATTTATAATTTAGAAATATTCTCACATCTCAACTTGCACTTTTAATAATTTTATTATTATCACCAGATGTGTTGTCCAAAACTACCATCTATTCAGGTTCACATAATATAGCAGACATTTTGACTTGCCATTTGCAGGAGAAGTACAGGTGAAGCACATTTTGAAACTGGTGGCTCAGTTACCTCGAATGTCCAGTAAGCCTGCATGCCCAGTACCAGAACCCTGGAACAGCTCATCTAAATGGAATGCAGTCAGTTTCAATGTTATCCCCAACACCTGTGCTTTTCTTGCACTGATATGCTCCACAGTCTGCTGAAAAAACAGTGTATTCCAGTTTAAATTTGCTGCTTGTTAGTTCAACACAGAAGGGACATAAAAGGGATGGATACAGATTATTTATATATGTGTGAATTCACATATTTGCTTTTTTGCTTCAGCCGGCATATAGATTGTATATAAAAGATAGACGTAGCCTCAGGGTCTGACAAGTGAAGCCAATGCAAGTGTCTTTAACCTGCCAGCAATGGCCGATGTCGCTGGTTGCAAAAAGAAGTCTGATTGTGTAGAAGTCTATAAGAAAATGATCCCACTTCACCTCATTTGATTTGTTACCTCAGTAAACATTTCTCTGAGGGCTTGATGGTCTCAATTACTAGAGTCAAGGCTCCTTAAATACGGCATGATGTTTATTTTGTAAATTAAGGTCCCATTTAGAGTAAAATAAACAAAAAAGCAGGTTCTGTTTTAAGGCGGAGCTCCCTTGTGAGGGGAGGTCACTACCATATTAGCTTTCATAGTGTCTTCAGGTTCTCAGTCTGTCTCGCAACTTTTTTTTTTTTTAGAAAAAAGTCCAAAATTGTTTGAGTCCAGCCTCCTAAATGGAATATTTTTTGGTTTCTTTGCTCCTATATGACGATACACTGAAAATCTTTGGGCTGTAGACGAAAGACAATTGTCATGTTTTGTGACATTTTATGAACAAAAAATAAATAAAAAATAAGATAAGAAAAATAGTTAACATCAATGGAAATAATTAGTTGCAGCCCTGCTTATTTTCATATCAGATCACATCCAGTCTTCCACCACTTGCTCCTTATGTCTGGATTCAACAAAAACAAAATGCCGACAGCCTAATTCACAGCTAGCGCCTTATAAATGTTAACCCCCCCAAACCAATGTAAGATGTTACAGCCGCTACATCCACCTTTTATATACAGCCTGTGAGCCAGCAGCCGGTTAGCTTAGCTTAGCATAAAGATTAAAACAGGTGAAGGCTTGTTTTCACTGTGAAGCTCAAATGTGTTTGTGAGTAAACTTTAAACATACTTGACCGCAGATTTTATTTATTACCTTTGGACAGGATGAAGTTAGTTGTTTTCTCTTGTTTCCAGTCTTAATGCTAAGCTAAGCTAACAACATCCTGGATGTAGATTTAGCCAACAGGAATGAGAGTGATATCAATATTTTCATAATGCTCGCCAAGATAGCAAATAACTGCCTTTTTCAAAAAGATAACTTTTCCTTTTGAGTAATTCTACACTTGAGCTGCTATGCAATTGTGCTGACGCAGAGTTTTTTATTCATGCAAGTCTTCGTGTGTGTGTGTTACAGGAAGAAAGCGGTGGAAATGGAGCTGGCCAAATGTAAAATAGACATCATGTCTCTGAACAGCCAGCTGCTGGACGCCATCCAACAGAAGCTCAACCTGTCGCAGCAGCTGGAGGCTTGGCAGGTGGGTCAAAGGGTACATGTCACACGAGAGTCCGTTTTAAGTCTTATCGAACAGCTTTTAACATAAAAATATTCGTTGTGTTTATTTGTTCAGTCCGTTTTAACCTAAAGCCCCTTACAGAATCTGTGCATACGCACTAAACCACTCATTTAACTGCTGAGGGTGTATGTCAGTCGCTTGTCTGTGATGGGTGAAAGGAAAGAATAGTTTACAGATACTGATTATTAGTAATCAATGAGACCAATAATATTATTTCAAACTGGAACATGGGCAGTAAATCTGGATGGTAGAATAACACAAACTCCAACACAAATCTTCATTCAACTGCTGATGTAGGTTTTACATTTGTTTGATTAAAATATTTTTCAACATTTATTCTTCAGTATTAACAATATTAATTAGCTTGTTACATGTAACCGCTGACAGACTACAGAGTCACTACAAACAGAGATGTGGCGGCATCAGAACCAAAGAAGCACATTTTTACATTCATTTATATAATCGTCACAAAAACTATTCTGATAATTGGAAAAATGCTGCATCAATCCGATAATCAATCACATATGTGGTTGCGGATGTAGTTTGCGTGTGTGTGTGTGTGTGTGCATGTGTGTGTGCGCCCGTGCGCGTGTGTTCCCTCCCTCCCCTCCCTCCTTCGTAACAAGCACCTCTTTCCTCTTTCTTCTCCCCGCCCACAGTTTGCCTCCTCAGGGCTCTTTACTGTTTGGCTCTTGTGGTTTCTGATCTAGTGGCCTTTCTCAGCTTCCGTACCACCCTTTCTCCCCTGTGGTACCCCCCCTCCTGCCTTAGAGGTGAGCCCGAGCTGCGCCATCTCGCCATTTCACCCTGCACTTACCCGACCACGCCATGCTGAGCCATTCCATGCCACTGACTCAGGAGAAATGCCCATCACAGCTCTGTTTCTATGTGAAACCATAAACCAGCACTGAAAACCATCTGACCTCACCACCCCCTCTGTCTCCACCTGCCTCCGTCTCCTCTTTACATACATCTGTAGCCTGTTTATTTTTATCTTTTTTTTTTTGTTTTGGAGAGTGGTCCACTGGTCAGCTTACCTGTTGAGAGACAAGAACATCAGAAAAACACCCCTGAGTCACAAGTAGATCATAATGCTTGGGGATATATTTTTGTATTCATGCTGCTGTGTGTTGATGATGTTCAGTCTGACACCATAGTTGGTTCCAACTTGATTTTGTAGCTTGTCAGAGCCCTCTGGTGGCTTCATTGCTCAACAGCTACTAACAATAATCCAGGTTCCTTATTTCATGCTTTAAGTCAAGGTATTTGGTGCAATTTAGAACAATGGTTCTTTTCCAGAGATTCAAAAAGTAAATCTTAGCAGAAAAACATATTTGCGCATCATAGAATTCTGCTTTTATTCTGACTTTTTTTTTACATTTGCATTTGATTGCGAATAACTGAATAATTTTACCTACGCAGACCTCTAAAATAGCATATTCTAAGAGGAAAAATTACTCTTTGGTTAGCTCTTCACATTGAGACATATGTCGCAGGTAGAAATTGCACAATTTAAAGGATCCACAACCTAAAAAGGTTGAGAATCATGTTTTAGAATATGATCTCATCTGGAAGCTGCAATGTTTTGAGCAGCTGCTTTCTCTTCCTGTGTATTCTATACATGAATGGTAGATTTTTTTCATTATATTTAAAGCAGGATTACAAACCCAACGAAGCACAGGCCTCAGAACTCCAAACAAGTAACTTGATCAGCGAATCTCTCCAGAACTTCTTATACCATCTCACTACCTCAGCATGACATTTCTCTCCCGTCTTTCGCTCATTCACCTTTCTGTTTTTGACTTTAGGATGATATGCACAGAGTGATTGACCAGCAGTTGATGGACAAGCACCAGGACGAGTGGCGCTCGGCCCCGACCTCCCTGTCAGGGTCGTCGAGGGCCCACGGGGGTCAGTCCTCCAGACGAGCTCACCGCATCTCTGACCGGGACAAGAGACTTTTCTCTTTTTTCAAAAAGAACTGAGCCCCGTTGGACTGGCCCCGAGCACAGCAGACAGACAGACAGACAGACAGACGAGCGGGAGAAGGAGGGAGCAACATCACAGTACAGGGGTAACAACACAGCCAAAGACAGGCAGTGGCATACACTGAGGTTTGGGGGGGATCATTTTGCACTTTATCTGTCCCATTACTCTTCTCCTTACTGATTAACTGGTGACTGCTGACAATGAGTATAAGAGCAGGACTTCCCCAGAGGCTTTGGCTTCGGCCCCTCTCATTGAAACCTATTGGTCTTACAGAACATGAACAGGGTCTCAGAAGTTTACCTCCAAAGAGGAAGGTTTCCTTGTAGTGCCTACAACCATCTCTACAATCCCACTGCCAACTGTGTAGAGAAGGAACACTATGTACAAACTCTCACTGTATGCATCCCAGTTATCAGGCCAAGGAGTCTGGGGAAAGACAGACGGATATATGGGACATTGTAGGACCATGAAAAAAGATGAGGATAGTAGGGCAGAGCTGTAAGTCAGAGTATGAGGGATGAAGCTATCCTCTGGGTAGAGAGCAAAGATGCTGCAGTCAACCCATGTGATCTCTCAGGTTTATTCATTTGTTCAGGCGAACATGAGGCAACAGTTTGATGTATCAGGACCAGAGCATATATCTGACAACAGAAAGCTTATTTACATATTGACATTGTCAGGAAGTTTTTAATTTTACAGCCTGAGGTGCGAACAGCCAATTATAGCAAGAAAAAAGACTTGGTACTAAGGGGTATTCCCATAGTTTAGCTTTAGCTCACTTTCATTAAGTTTAGGGACTCACAGTGGACCTATTAAAGCTGCACTTACAATATATGGATCAAATAACTATGTTTAATGTGAAAAGAAACAGAGACTTATCACCTCACTACCAACCCCTTAGCAGCGTTGTAACCTTTTAAGCTGGTTGTTTTAGTTGCAAATATTTCAGTGAATTTCGGCCTTAAAATTTGTTTTGTGTCCAGAAAAATGACTAAATTTCTGCTCATGTTCTCGAACAACTTGAAAAATTGAGAATATGTCTCTTGATGTATTTGCAGTGACTTCCCAAGTGAACAGAAACAGATCAGTACAGCTTTGAAAAATGAAATGTTTAAAATTCAAAGCAGCAGAGATACCCTAAAGCTAAAATCAACATCCAAAAACCTTTCATTTCTCATAATATAACCAATGCTGTTTTCATTACACCTCTTCTAGCTGGTACATGCTCACATCTGTCTTATTCCACAATCCCAGTCAGTAATAAATGTGTAGATTCCAAGCCTAAGTTCAGGGTTAAATCATGCTGTATTAAATTGAACTAAAACATAATTAAACTTGAGCAGGTCTAGAGAATCTGTGAATGAATGTATAAAACCAGCACTTTTCAGTTGGCCATGTATTGTGGCGAACTCGACGAGGCCTTCATGTTCATGTCTGACGTCTGAATAAACCTTTGGGTGGCTGAAGTTACTGATACTGTCTGTCCAGGTGTTATTATTTTTCTACACTCAATGTTATATTTAACATTTATTTACAAATCCTATCTTTTTTGTAAGAAAAAGGCACTGTCCAACATTGTCCCCACGATGTCAATCATCTTCCTAGTTGACCAAATGTTTAAAACGTTTACATCAGCTTGAGAAGGAGGCAGAACTATGAAGTATGCTCATCAACTCAAGAGTAACCTGTTGAATTTTCATGTTGTTAAGACGCATGTGAGTGTACAAAACTCCACTGAACTTCCTCTGCAGTGGTCAGTGTCTGCTGCTTCGTTTCGCATTCACCACTAATAGAAAAAGGTCTACCTCCATTCTCATTGCTTCAATACTTCATGGGCACTTTGATTTCTTAGCTGGCGGGCTTCCATTTCAGGCAACACATCTGTGACTCCGTTGGTAAAACAGTATGTGTTGGCCTGAAATCTCCGAGCATGAATGACTTTCAGTGTGGCACAGTGATGTCTCATGTCTGTCTGTGTTTGAACTCACGTCTAATGCAGCTGTGCAAACCTATGCAGATGTCTTCGTGTCATCTCAGCTGGTTGTTGGGAAGGATCAACCCAAAGAATGATTTTTATAATAAAGTCGAATAGGTTTGGATGAAATTGATATATTTATAAGAAAAAAATGCATACCTTTTGAATGAAAATCTTTTTGTAGGAAGAAATATACCTGTACAATGTAGGCTCCTCTTCATGTGTGTCCCAACAGTGAGAAGAAATTCCACTGGTGAGTTGAACATTGTCACTTGTATGTATGTTTTTTTTTTTCACAGTCCTGGTTCGGCATGCAGTAGAGCTGGTGACAGATTCCACAATTCAAATGATTCACTGATACGATACACAAATTATTAAAAACACCCCAAGAAGCATGAATAGGAGTTATTAATCCAAGAGTACCTCATAATTCACCACCCACTGCTGTCACTGTCTGATAAGTTACTCTATTACAGTCTATCTGCTGAGCTAATAAAGAAACACATCGACATATTGCAAAATGTGCTTCCTTGCTTTCTGACAAAGAGCTAAATAAGATCAGTATCATGTTCATGTCTGTGCATCAAATATAAGGCTACAGTTGGTTAGCTTAGATTAACATGGACCGGAAACAGGAGCAAGCAGCTTGGCAGACTCTGTTTAATACAAGAACTGAAATATTCTACATTTATAGGCTGTTGCAAGAAATATTTCTGCCACGCTAAACAAACAAGATGTAAAGTGTTGGTGAGCATTTGTGTCAACTTACACTGAATGTTCGTAAATTATATATTATCCCCCATTGAAACTTCTTATGTACATAAAAACATTCAGATTATTAGAAAAACATCAGCATCACCATATTTGTGGTAAAGTTCAGCCAGGCGCTGCGCTACAGCCGTCGGCATGTTGTGTTGTGCTGTGAAGCTTTAAAGCGTGACTTCAGGCCTTACCACATTTGTCAGGGCAACCGATTTGGGAAACAGATTCTTCCTCTGATGTGTATTTCTCTGCTGTAGATTCTATTTAAAATGTTCCTTTGCATCAAACATCAGCCGCTGCCTCCTTGATGTCTCACACGTAGACCGTGCAGCGTGCGTGTACTTCAATTTTTGTTGATTTCTTTTTAAAAAAGTGTTAATACCTAGTACTTTTAGCAATCATTTTTAGATCCTGTGAGTTTTATATAGACTTTACAAATTGGATTGGATGATGCAGGTGGACGGTCTTACAGACTGTCTTTAGCTTTGGTGCTTAGCTAAGCTAGCATTATGTTGCTGCTCGCCTGCATTTAACAAACAGATATGGTCCATCAGAAAGCAAATAAGCATATTTTCCAAAATGTAGAACTGTTCCTTTAATAGTCATAATAAAACGGGAATAAAGGATTGAGTCTGTGATATATAGACAGAGTGTTGATATTGAACTAATTAATATATTTAAATACTTTGCATGTACCAGATTTACAGTCCCTCCGCCCTCTTTATCCCTGTCAGACACGCTGGTGTAGTGTTGTGTAGAGCAGTCTGAGCTACTTTGTTTCCCATTTACAGAAAAGAAACACCAGATTTCTTTTCCAGCACATGCAAAACAGACAAATATTCACTGAATGTGACAAAAACTGTTTTGGATTAATATTGTTGACTCTATCTTTAACCATGTAGTCAGCAATTATAAAAGGAAAGTTTCATACTTAAAAGTAATGATACATACTAAGAACTCTTAAATAATAACTTCCTAAAGTAAACAATAGTTTTGTAATATCTGTTAAGCTTTGCCGTCCTTTTTGCAGGAGGTCGGAGGTGAAACAGATTGGTTCCTCCCCATGAGTTAAAGAGCTTAAACGACAAGTCAAGTGTTTTGCTGGAGAACGATGAACAGAAGATTTTCACAACTTTCAAAACTCCAAATGGGTTTATATTTTTATTGTTTTCCTATTTTAATCTTTATTTATCCAGAAACATGTCATTGGGATAACACCTCTTTTTTAAGATCGTCCTTGAAAAGATAGGCGGCAAAAAAAAATTGTTCCAGAGAAACAAGATAATATGCCACAAAATCAGATACGATATCTTTTTAAAACATTTGGCATCCTGAATAACGAATTGAAACAACCCAAAAGCGAATGCATCAAAAATCAGACAAACAAAACATCTGAACTACTTCATAACATGAGCAGTCAGAAGAAAGAGCGTTCAGTTTCCGTTGCAGTGATTTAAATTACAAAGAGCATTGGTTAATGATTTATTAACCATTAATACAGTAATTTAAACGTCTGCATAGAAGGTACTGTGTGAGAAAGTTCTTTGCCTTCTCTGTCTGAAGGGATGTGATCAGAAACATTGAGCTAAAATAGGAACATCCTCCCTCTGGCAGAAATAAATGCAAAGTGTGAAGGTGGGTGGATTCAGAAAGCTTCACATCCACGTGTTTGTAGTTTTGCCTGAGTGAACACCAGTCTCTCCTGCATTAACCAGACTGTAATTTGTCTCTTTTCATGTCACAGTTTGGTTAGAACAACAGTACTCTGTAACATATTCGGTCCTGTCAACATTACGTCCTAATTGCTGTTTCTGTTTCTTGTTTGACTGTGTGCATTGTTGAGGATGGTCGCTCCGACACTGTAGTCTGTACGGATTCATTTTCCAATTGAAAGCATTTTAAAACACTGTGTGCCGTGTTTTTCTATGGTAAACATCCCGATGCTGGGGCTCGAGTGTCGCAGTGGCAGACAGACGAGCCATTGAGTGTGTTTTTGGTTTTTTTTTGTTGCTTGTTTCTACTCGGTCGGACGTTGATTTGGAATTTAGTGCTCTCGGTGGGCTCATTGTGCTCCATGTGAGTGCTTCCATTCACCTCTGACTAACGGCACTGTTTCAGTTTAAAAAATGCTTCAAACTATTTAAAATATTTATCATGCAATTTTCTTAGAATTTTTTTTTTCTTTTGTACGAATAAATACTTTGCAATCTGCTCGTCTCCATTGACTTGGTTGAGAAATACTTTGTGAGATTCTCATAGTCAGGCATGCTGTGAAGAAACTGATGATACTTTCAACTTTCTGCCGGAATATTAGGAAACTAAATATCTGATGAAGCATCTGAACAAGCACAATCCACAGCACAACCCACAGGAGAGATGTTTCCCAGGTGATGAATCATCATGTCTATGGTGAGAACTGACTTCTCTGCTAGTGCCAGTATACGGTTTTTATTTATAGTTTTCAACCAAATATGCCAGCAGTTGTTGGACAAATAGGTATAAACATGGTAAATATTAATTCTCTCCTCAGGATGAACTGTATTAACTTTTATGTGATCCAAAAAAATTTTTTCCAACATTTTGACTTATGACCACGCCTGCATAACTAGCCTCAGCTGTACTTGCTTGTTTGCAACTTAGCAAAATGCTCAATTAAAGAGCCCTAATTATGCTTTACTATTTTTCCCTTTTCCTTTCGCATGTTATGTAACTTTTTTTATGCATGTAAAAGGTCTGCAAAGTTGCAAAGCCTTATGGGTCTTAAAGAAACAGGAGCTTAATATGGGGTGAAAAGAGGTGCTGCAGCAATGTACAGTGAGACAATAAAGGTTGTAAACATATTTTAAACCCCACAAATAAAACTAGAAACCTGCAAATGAGCATAATATGGGCCCTTCAAAGGAAACTTGATAAATATAACATGAGCATGTTTACATGTTGAAAGCCTCACAGATCTTCTAGCAGGGATGTAGTCTTCAGTCCTGTTAATACTAATTTAGAAATGATTGCATAAAATACAGTGTGTCTGCATCTAAAACTATATGAGAAGTGTTAAATACAGAAGATTTCAGTCACGCTGTTGTTTGATCAGATATTTCCGGATCCCAGACAGGAACCATCTCAGTCTCAGCATACTGAACAACCTACAGTAAATATGAAATGCTACAGAAGAACGCTGAAACACAACTAACACCCTAACCCATTCCAGTTTTTCAAAGCAGAAATTTTGTTTTAGAGGAAACTCACATGTGGACCTAATAACGTTAAGAATAGCTCTGCAGCAGTGTAATGAACTAATGACATCGGTTGCAGCTGTTTGACAAGTCAAACTCTCAGCTGCCAGTAGAGTCTCTTTGAAATCCTAAGTGCTTCAGTATACGGAAACTGGACATGTTTATGTTTCATCTTTTATCCAAGGGCCATCCTCAGGTGGGGCGTTCAAGGTGTTAATGTCTCCCCCAAATCACAAGGCTCATGGCCCGGTACTTGAGACTCACATGACTCGAGGTGTGAATGGTTGTGAACCTGCCTGAGGAAGATTCGAAGTACACGAAAACTGGTGTTGTAGACTCCCTCCTCTGTTTACAACTGGAACAACCCTTTCTAAACAGAGCAGGAGGTCTACAGTACCACTTACCAGGTGCTTACAATGCAGCCTTGAGATCTATCCCCTGACAGTTGCACCACTGTTAACACCTTGAGTCACCCCTCACCTGGCAGTTTCAGAGCAATTCACACCTCATGTCACCTCAACCCTCTTGGATGAAAGATAAAATGCTTTCCACCAACAAAAAAATAGGAGTTGCCTTCTACTGAAGCTCTTATGATTACTGTGATTGGGATGACTGAAAATCTAGTTTCTTTGAAATGTTCAAATGAGACACACCTGTAGTGACAATGTCAAACCAACCAGGGGTGAGGTATTTGTAATTTGTGGTAATTGCTTAGTTAACTTATTGCTGCTTATGAAGGAAACAAAACTTGTTCTCATAAAACATGATTGACTGCGTATGACCAAAACAGTAGCAAGAGGTTTTCCAAAGACCAGTGCACACGTCCTCCCATACAATTTTATTCACAGAAAGCCAAAAATAAAAAGACACAGGTTTAAAATGAAGTTAGGACCAAGTCTTAAATCACTGACAAATAAGCTCAGTCATTATGTGTCAAATATTTATTCCTTTAAAACGTTTATTACTGATTAAATTTATGTAGGGAAAAATGAATAGTACATCTTTTTCTCCAGTGTACAGCAAACCACAGCTGACGAGTGTGTTTCAACCCTAGCACACAGCGCATGTTTAACACATGCACAGTTTGGTGTGCTAATTCTGTGTGTATGTTCTATATTGAATATAAACACACAAATATATTTATATACACATACACATAATGAAGAGAAATCATAAAGTGTGAGATTTGATACCATTTTTTAGGCCCTTGAGGTCGCAATGACCTCACGACGCATATCAGGATCCCAAACCGGCTGCCAGAGTCTGCCCAGAGGATGAAAACGAAAGGTTTCCAACAGAAGCTTATGTAACCCTCTCCATTTATTACTCTCCCAATTCAAAATAAAGGAAAAAAAAATGTCAGTAAAAGACACCGTATGCTGCTTCAGCCTCTGTGACAAACCCTGGCGGTGCTCATGGATAGGAGAGGAGAGGAACTCAGGCCCAAACGTGCTGGGATCCAGTGCTGCAGTTCATCCCCGTTTGTTCTTACATTAATAGTCCCACTGTCAGCCACACTCTCATCATGGATGCCAGAAACACTGTCCAGTAACACTTCAGTTTGAACAGGTAGTGGGGGTCATCACAGA